TTCCCTGAAGAAATTAGCTAAAATTTCCTTTGTCGGTTCGATGCTTGTTATAATGTTGCTAGACCTGTCGAGGGTCAAGAACAAACTGGAATTTGAAAGGCTTACCTTGATTATAGAATAATAAGCAGTTCAACTGATGTAACAGTAGTGTTACGTTGGCCGTGAAAGCAAAATAATTGACGTCGATTACGTTTAGATTACGTTTAGCAATCATCATTTGTTTCATATGTCTCATCAACTGCTTATTTGATAGTTATGTCTTACATTTCCATTTAATTATTTCTTATCACTTTACTTTACTTTAAATTAATATTTTCTTTAAATATATTAATTTTTTTAAATAACTTTTTCTTCCTTTCTGTTCTCTCTAATTACATTTCTAAAATGGATAACATTTCCAAACATTTAGCAAACACATTTTTTTGCAAAAATGATGAACGATAATAAATAAATGATATTTAGGAATATGGTACGATGAATTTTTACATTTTTTTGCATCTGACTCTAATTATTTTAACTAATTTCGTATATTAAAAAGTGGAATTTTGTACATACTGCGGCTTTCCAAATGAATTTAGAGTAATGTCAAATACTGTTATCTCTTTTTGTTTCATCCATTTATTTTTTTTTTTTTTTTCGATTTGATCAAATCAAACATCATTTCCCTCTACATTTCTATTTGTCTTTATTTTCTTATCAGATATCTCAACTGAAAAAGAAAATTGAAAAAAAAAAAACCACTTTGTTGATTTTTTCGATAAAGCAAAAAAAAAAAAAAATCATATGGAAAGAATACTGCGTTACATTTCAGAATCTAACAACAAAAAGGTAACAACAGAGATATTTAGTAGTATTATATATATTCATTTTTACACCTTATTTTGGCAATTTTTTTTTTTTTTTTTTGAAAATGCACTCTATATATCATGCTTTAACTTAATATATATTCATTTTTTTTTTTTTAATCTATTATTTTTATCCAAACAAAAATGTTTTATTGCTTGCATATACTTACAAATGTATTTGCATGTAAGTCTTTTATAAATTAATATGTTATATCGTTTTATAATTTTATACAAAATTTTACGTGTTCTTGCAGCGTATTTAATGTTATAAGATTTCAGATTTATTAAATTTATAATATTTCACTCACTTCAGTAAATATATCGAATGTTACGACATCAAAATTTCATTCAATGACCTCTTCGTTGCATAGCCATCGTTCACCCTCATTATGTAGTACTACCACACCAAATGTTTCATTGGATATGCATGATCAAGAAATGATTACTTTTCGTAAGTATTGTATCGTTTTCATGTTATTACAGTGTTTTTTTTTTTTTTTTTTTTCAATGATTTCAGTAATTTCACTTTTTAAGCATTTTTAGAATTCTCAACTTAATTTAATTTTTGAAAGACAATTTAATTAATTTTTTGTCAAGATTATGCAAATTTTCAAATTTCATATTGCTGAAAATTCTGTATTTCGATTTGCCGTGATACTTTAATTTCATCATGGTCATTTTGAGATAAAAAAATTAATATAACTAGTGTCACTTGCAAAGTGGTTAGTTATTTAAGCTGTTTTATTTTTTATCCACTGATAATGATAACAATGATACCATGTCATATAGTTTTTGTTTAAGTAGTTTTTTGAGCTCATGTTAACCTGAATGAAACGGATGTTTTTAAGTGTTTTTTTTATGTGTTCCGGAAGTTTTAAGGAAGTATTTTAAAAAGTGATGAGATTTTTGTAAACTTATAATTTTCATTATTGAATTTGAGAATTATGACAACCACTTTAGTGGTTTTGTTCAGCTGTTCTTTGAAGAACGATATAGTCTATTATTCGTTGGAAGATTTCTTCTGTTTTTTGCATCCATAGTGACAAGCAAAGGATTGAAGGTTAAAACTTCGGAAGTCAAATTATACTTCAGCGTAAATTATGATTTAATTTTGCAGCTCAGTCTGGTGAACTGAATTCGGACATAGGTATTCAGGTTGGACCGGAGTCGAAATTATCCGCCATCAGTTCATCATCGAATACAGGTACTTTTCAAATTTTATTATTTTTATTGGGAGATATTGTTATCTTAATGTGTATGTGTTTGTTTGGTATATATATATATATATGTTTTGTGAAACAGTGATTCTAAGGATTGCTTCTTATTACATTAGTTTGAAGATTTGGAATAATATAGAAATTGTAAATTTGAAAAGTAATTAAGCAGATACGTGATGTACAAATGCCTACAATATTTACATGCTATTTTATATTTACAAATGCAATTGCGGACGTAGAAAAAAAATGGAACGGATGATTTCCAGGAAACGTTCCGAAATTTTTTGAACCAACAGAAACATTACCACCCTCCAATACACCGATGAGTCCATTGCTGTATTCTTTACAAAAACAGTAAGTATTTAAATTTTACATAATATTTTTGATGTTGTTTCAAGTGCTTTTGATTTTTTTTTTTTGCTATCATCGTAATATATCTCTATCTGGATATTGATTTTCTTTTTTTTCGTTGATTTATTCACAATTTCAATCACTTAATATTAATGTTTTTTTTTTTTCGTATGTTTAGATTTTCAATTTTTGTCTAAACATTTAATTTAACTTCGTATTTCTAACTCTCAATTATCTAGCGAGAGTAAGTCTACGAGAGTAAGTAAAAATTATGAATCATTTAACTATTAAATGATGATATACCGCTTGGTAAATTGTTTCGTTAATCGATAAAATGTTTTCCAAGTAAAAAAGCAACTTCGATGTCAAAAATAAATTTTTAGAATGGTCACACAAAAAATAGTTTTGCACATTGTAACTATCACAAAATGATTATAATTTTACAAGATCTACTCAGAAAAAAAAAAAAGAAAACTGCAAGTTTTTAAGCTATTTTCAAGCTTTTAAGACCAAAATTAATAAGGCATGATCAAAATTGATTAATTGAAAAAATACATTTTTTTTTAGTGAGAAATTGTACGGTTTGGACTTAAATTCCTGCTGATATTCTGTTTTCTTTACAATTTTTTACATTAACCGTAAATTTTACAACTTTCTAGTGTTCAGTCTAAATTATACTTTTTTTAGTTTACTGAGACTTTAATTTACTCATTACTTTATTTTGCTGTAAAACGGCTATCCTAATTTGTGAAATTTAAATTACCGGTCATATTTATTTTCTCATACAATTTGGCGATAACATACTTTTGAACTATTGAAATACTGGCTATGTTTTTGCCGATTTCGTGCAGATAATGTATGAAAATCTCCAATACTTTATGCTCATAAAAAAAAAAGAATTTTTTTTGTGGCAGATTTTTTCAAAACTAATAATTGTTATTGCAAACTAATAATTGTTATTCGAAGAAATTAATTTTTTGTAAACAGTGGAGTTCTTTTCCATACACTTAGCGCTGCGAGCATCCTCACAATTTGTAGGTTATTCAGTGCAAAATTTTTTTATGGTAAAAGGAATTATTTTTACGTTATTTTAGAAAGGCTATTTTTGTGAAAAAAAAATTTTTTTTGTGGTTTTGAATTTAAAAAGAAATAAAATTTAAGATATACTTTTGCAATTATGCCTATTACAAAATAAAAAGCTTTTCATGAAAGCATTCAGAAATTTATCAGATGGAATGATTTATTGCCATTATTTCAATCGATAGCAATCATAGTATTTTTTTATTCAGTTATTCTGATCAAAAGCAAAAAAGGCAAGAGAGAATAGTGTTCTGTTGTCTCGATAAGCTTTCCTTTGCATTTTAGATCTTTATGTTTGAAACATTTTTATCATTCAAGCTGTTTTTTTTTTTCTTTTTCTTTGCTAGGAAATGCTTTATGCTAAGATTATGTTCCTTTTCATTGTTGAAATATCGCTGGTTTTTTAAAATTACATCAGCAGTTCAAATATATGTTTTAATTTTATTAAAGTTAAAGTCAAAAAAAGCTCTGGATTTGAGGATTGTAAATGAATTTAGTTCCATTCTATCAACGTGTCATCAAGTGTTTCCCTATTATCTTCTCAACTTTATAATTTTTATTTTTATTTTTATTTTTTTTGATTAAGACTTTTTATCAGTGAAAGAATATTTTCATTTTATGGATTGGATCACCAGTAATTATGGTTTTCACCAACACAAATCAGTTAGATAGCAATGGAATTTTAAATTGCGTTGAATGTGAAATAAATAATAAAAATTATTAGCTTTCATTTTTTACTTAATACTTTTTCTTGCAATAAAGATTAGAAGTGAAAAAAGTAGTTTGTTATATATTGATATTTTATTGACGAAAATAAGCTAAAAAATTATTAACAAAAGCCAATTATATAGTCTTAGAAATATTTCAAGCGTTAAGCTTTGTTTTGAAAGTGTAATTTTCAATTTACCTGTGCATCATCACAATACATTGCAATATTTGCTCAGTAGGCGTATACAGTTCCATCAAGTTTTCATGTCTCTATGTACTTTTATATTTAATATTTATCCAAATTTATAGCTCACATTGCATTTTATACACTTAGGCATTTTTTTAGATTAATTTATTCATGAAATCCTTGTATAAAATCTCCCCGTTAAATTTGATTTTTCATGCTTTTTAATTATATGAAGATCTGTTTCTTCTTTTTCTTTTTTTTTTTTCTTTTTAATTTCTTGAAAAATATTACTTTTATCAAATGGCAGTTTCTTTTATCAAACGATAAGTGTATGTCGTTTTTTTCTAGTAATAATCTTTATCTCTCATTATTGTCATGCAAAAAGGTCACATATCTTCGAATAAATAATAACATTTTAAGATGCAGAAGGAGACTTAGCATTCTGTAATAATGTTTCATTTTTTATAAAGCTAATTTTGCTAATACAGATAGGCCCTTTAAAATTTTCTAGCTTTTTCCTAATGTTTTGTTATTATGTCTTCATTACTGACACTTATCTTTTTTTAATTTACAAGCTTTCATCTTTTCCTTCAGAAATCACTCTAAGCAAATATGTCAAGTGAACAAATAGGAATGTCACTGTTTTCATCATTATTACCATTAACAACAGAAGCAAGAGCAACAGGAAAAAATTCAGGATTCCAACGAAGATCTACTTCAATTGACTTAGAATCAGGAAAAATTGATGAGTGCATCAAGGTTGCACCACCATATAATCATGATAAAAAAAATCGCCGGTTCATTGCTTCAACATCCAACATTCCGGAAAATTCTCAATTATCAATAGTGAAAACTGATTTATCACATAATTTATTAGCAGCCGGAAATGTATCATTGGAAAATTTTGTTGGTTTACAATCATATCGTGCCATTTCAACCAATAATTCATGCATCAATATGCGAAAAAATGAGCAGTTGGATGATTTTGATATGAATATTCGGATGACTCACAAGGATAATCATTTGGCTAATAATTCGATAAACTTTTCATCGTATCAACCATCAACAATGGATGCAAAAATTTCAAATAACTTTCCAATTCATATGTTACCTTTAACAAATCCATCATCACATAATAATTATTTGGAATATCATAGCGTACCATCGACAACAATAATAACTGCAGCAGCAACAACAGTAACAGCAACAACAACAAATAACAATGTTATAGGAGAAACAAAAGCGGTAATGTTGGATGAAAGGTGTGTTTATTATCATCTTTTGAATTATATTTTTAACTGACTATATTCTTTCCAGATATCGTGGTGAATTATCAATTCTGGAAAAGTATCGTTATGATCTCAGTCGAGCTCAACTTAAAGCAAGTTCACGGACATCAGCTTTACTAGCAGGTTTTGCTATGGTAAGTAAAATACAAATTAAACTTTAATATGATTTTAAATTGGAATAAGATTTCACTGTTTTCCTGTTATCAATAGTTTAATTTAAATATCTCACTGTAGTACGATAATACCTGTAGGACATATTCCCGCATAGCGCAAAATGGTAATATATCTTACAATGCCAAAAGAAATGGCATCATTGTTACGATTCATTATTTAATTGCTTCACAATTTTTTGTATTGTTATAATTAAACTGGTTGTTTTTGCCTAATTTCTTAGGTCCAAAACTCAAAGTAGAACCTAAGAGTAGAATCTAAGAGTTATTAAAGCAGTACGTCATCTTTTCTTTCTGTTGTTTGCAAAATTATCAGATTTTTGAGATTGAAGTTTTGGAACTCACTATTTGTGTCATTTTCAGATCTAAGATTTCTAAATGATTTTTTTCTTATGCGGTATCTTCTGCATTTTTTTCAACTTTTCGAAATGTTTTTTTCCAGATTTTTTGACAATGTATCCATCGACGTTGTTGTTATTGAATTTTAGGTCATAATTTTTTTTGCTATCTTTCATTGATTTTCTTCAAGCGAAGCTACTAATGGAATAAACCAGATAGGAAATATAATGAAAAGGACTAATAAAAAATTAGAAATATTTGGATCCTAAACAATTTGAGCATTCCAAAGACAATTGATATTCTGCATCTTTCTTAGATATTATCTTGGCATTTCTAATTGATTTTCATTACTGGATAAGTGGATAATTAATTTAATAAACAAATTTATGTGTAATGCTATGTATTACCTTCGATCTCCTTTTAAATTGTTCCGTAAATCGCCAGTTTTTTTTTTTTTCTACTTTTCATCAATGATTATTAAATATTTCCAATGCAGTCATTAATTAATCAGCACCAGTGCTTCATATTCATCCTTTATTTCTCGTGTTTTAATCGAATTTTCTTGAGATTAATACAAGTTTATACTTTTTTTTTTTTGCTTGTATTAATGTGGTTATCCAACAATCTGCTTTGTTCTTAATTAATCTGTTTACCATTTGCTACAGCTAATAGCTCGAAAACATCATAGTATATGATTTTTGTAATAATAGTTTTCTCGAACATCACAAAATGAATATTACATTAAATTATAATATTTTGTTATGTATTACTACCATGATTTATTATCAATAAATATTAGGTATAACAGAAGACTAAACAATTAATTAAAGATTGAATATAACGTAAGTTCCAGTTCGATGAGATATTTCTTTTGTAGTAGAATTCAGTAGCTTTATCACAGGTAGTATTGAACTGTTATTGCATTCAGCAACAGTATTCAAGAAATAAATAGCAAATTAAGTTATGAGATGAGAGTTAGTATATTTCATTATATTTAGGTTGCCTTGGTGGAATTGCAATACGAGCGAACAACGCCACCTTTTTTACTGATAACACTTGGTGTAGTGACAACACTTCTTGTATCCGTTCATCTTCTTGCACTGATGATGTCAACATGTATATTACCTTACATTGAAGCGAATGGTTGTACCCAAGATTCACCTCACATTCGATTAAAGTAAGTTTGTTTTATAATAATTGATTAAAGAAATATCATTATGGTTTGAGAAATATGGTGATGAATTTGAGAATTAGCAGTAAAAGAAAAATTAGCTTTTATGATAGCAATATTTTTAACATTAATCAGCATTGGTGATATTTTCTTCTTTTCACCTATAAATTATTTTTCATCTTTTTTCTACATTAAAACAAAATGTTTGCATTACTTACATTTCAAATCATCCTACTTCAAATGTTTACAGTAATTTCATATATTTATCGGTGGCTAATTTCAATTTTAATTCCACTTTTGGTCCATCATTTTTGCTTGAATTATTTATATTTTTTGATTTTAGCAAGCCTCGTTTTCATATTTTTTTTCCTTACTTATATCATTTGAAGTGGCATTTCACGTCTTTATAATAGATTTTTTCATCAATGAGATACCAATGATTAGTAATGATATTACAAATTAGTTTAAGTTAGAATAATGCGTATTGTTTAGTAACTGATGACAAGTATCATTTCTGTTGCTTTATCTTGTTATATGAAATTTAATTGTATATGTAAATAACATATATAAGTACTCTAGTATTTATGCTATCTCGAGTACTTTTATTTCATTTCACATTTTTTATTTTCAGATTCTATATCGATCTATCCTGGTTATTTAGTACATGTATTGGTTTGGTGTTGTTTCTTATTGAAATTGGTATAATATTTTTTGTAAAATTTTATGCAGTCAACTATATTACTGCTGCTTATATAACCACTGCTATGCTCAGTAAGCAAACAATATTTTTTTATTTTTAAAAATTTTTTTATTTTTCAGAATAAAATATGATCAACATTTTAATGCATTACGTAATGATGCATGCTGCAGTATAAGCTATTTTGCTTCTCATTATTACCTAACATATTTTGGAAGTTATAGGTAAATAGAATGTTCGGTAAAGAAAAAAATTTGAGAATTAAGATGGAATATTTAACAAAGAATTATAATGTAAACTACAATTCCATTTTGAATTTTGCACACTTAAATTAACTTTAAACTTTTCCATTGAAATATTTCTTAATTTATTTAAATTTCAATTTTTAATATTATTTTTTCCAGTTGTTTATTTTAATATCTTTGTTTGTTTCAGTACCTGTTGTAGTGGTGTTTACGATATTCTCATGTCTTATTCATAAAAATCGATTTATTCATTCAATAAATCGTGTTGGATCAAAAGCGATTGATTTGCAAAAATTTTTGAACGAAAATAATGCAGCAATAGGAAGCAGCATTCCAAATACTACTACAGCTACATCTATTGAACGACATCTGGTAGGTGCTGGTTTACATGGTATTCGAGTTATCCATCATTGACACAGACATTATGAAGAAATTTTTAAAAATTTAATCTTTTTTTTTTTTTTTTTGTTAGTTTTCATTACTCTTTTCAAGTGCACTTTAATATATGCTTTGGCTTTCATGCTATTTTTACATATTAGCTCTCATATTTGCTGTTTTTCCTTTAACAGATAACGGTTGTTTTTCTTTTTTTCTGATATATTATTGAATTGGAATTGTTTATAAGTAAACAAAATCAACTAGAGGAATATGATAAGAACGATTTTTTTTTTTTTAAATGCTTTTCTTATTCGCTGTTTTTTCTTTTTTTGTGCTTTCTTATTTGCTGTTTTATGCTAAATATTTTTGAATAATTTTTGCTATTTCATTTTTATTTCTTCATATCAGTGGTAGATCAAATTATTTTGTTACAGCTTTAGATCAAAACATTCGTTACACGAAAAATTTTTTTGTCTTTATAAATATATGAAAACATCGTCTAACTATTTTTCCACTCTATTTAATTGAATTCACTATTGCTATCCTGCAATCTCATATAACATTTCTGCTTGGAAATTGCTCCCTGATTACTTCGAAGCTTACGATCGAAGGTCATTAGCTTCAGAACGAAAGACTTTAAATAGTGTAATGTGCTATCTCTTGACCTCATCATCCTCTAGATACATTTTTTTAATTTTCGATAAAATAAAGCCTTCACCCTCCAATTTCTTTTTTTTTTTCTTTTTTCATTCATCTTTATATGTTTTCCTATCATTTCTCTACATTCTATTCTGTAGTATAAGTTAAGCTAATTATTTGGTCAATCTTTAGCTATAATTTGCCTCAGGTGAAGTTTTCTGCTTTTCAGTAAATTTTTTCTCCTTTTTCAAGAATGTTATGCATCATGAGATTAATTTCTTTTACATATCTTTGCAATGATTTTCGGTGCATTTCTTCTTTTTTTTTTCTACCTGTACTGTTTTTGTTTTTTGTTTAAAGAATCCAAAGTACTTCACACTGCTACAGTGAAGTTGTTAACTGTTCAGCGTTTGCTTTTCCTTACTTTAGTAGGTAATATTGGACAATAAGTATAACGAAAATGCCAAATTTAAGACACACCTTGGACTCAAATTTTCTTTTTTAAATTAGCTATGTATTTTTGCATATCTTTCAGATGTTTTTGAGGACATTTATTATTCTCTTTCAACATTTAATAGGCATTTCCGGTGGATTAATTTTCGGTTTTGGATAAACAGTATAATTAATGATGTGTTTGTAAGATGAAGTTAATGGGACTGTAACTTTATAATTGTTGAAATTGATTACCTTAGTGACATTATTTCCTTATCTCTTTCTCATAATAGCCTTCTTTCAATAATTTTGAAAAATATGAGCATCAGCAGAGCCTTAAAAAGGAAAATTTTATGAATGATTAGTTGCTTTAGGAATTAGAGGAATCTTTTTCTCATTGCATTTTTTATTAACCCAACTGATCATTCATTCTTAAAGAACTCTTTATTATAACGTTGTTAGTCTTATAATTTTTCAAATTACTTTTTGATAGTTAATTCATTTCTTTGTTAATTCTTTGAATTTTATTACTTAATATTTGCTCAAAATAACTTTTTTAACCTTTAAATCTTTTTAACTCTCACTGCTGCACTTAAGTAAACTCAATTTGCTGCATGAAAGCACTGTTGAATTCACTTATATCTCTAGAAGTATAATTAGTAGATAGATGAAATAATTTTGCTATCTAAGCTCTAAGTTTTTTTACGACGCTTCAATTCAATTCATTTTTTCAGGACCAAAAATTTACACAAACCCAGAAATATTGGCTTGATATAATAGCTTACATTGTTATGTTTTGTAAATTTAATTATATCTTGATAAATAATATATATGGCGTATGCTGCTTTATCAAATTCCAAATTTTTTAGCTGCTTCGATTTCCATAATTTTTTCATCATAAAATCATCATTTTGGTTTTTCTTATTGCTTTCATACCTTCTTTTTTCACATTTTCGCACTTAATTCATAACATTTTGTTTTCAGCTAACAGAAAGAGCATTTAACCAAAATATTTATTTCTGCTATTTGCTTAATAAACTTCACTATTCAGCGATTATTTCTTTCAGAATTAATCATTTTTTTTAAGTGAAATATTCTATTCTTCTTTTTTGCCTTTGTGTTCATCTTCATACTCTTCCATAAATTGATGTTTCTCTTGAATTTGATGTTTGAATTCATTATCAGACTCTTTTAATCAGTATGTTCTATTTATTATAATTTTTGCACTTTACATGACGATTAGATTATCTTCTTTCGGAATACAATGGAATGGTAATTTCACCCTTCATTTTTCTCCTACTTCGGTTTTGTAAAAATCTAGGCAGCAATTTTAAATGATTCTGGTACAGTTAGTATCAAATTTATTGTCAATTACAGTTATTGCCACTTAATATACATCACTTCAACATTTCCTTGTAAGAGATCTCCATATCTAACGTCATCGATGTGCATCTACAGGATAATCACTCTTCAGTGAATTTTGAATTATTGTTGGGATTAAGATTACATGGCATATACTGATAATTATAGATCAGAAAATGCTGTTTTACTAAATTTTCTTCTATACCATAATTAATCATCATTTTGATCAGTGCAGATATGATTTCAATTTCAATTACCTACTTTAAACATGGTTGAGCAATTGTCGAAATTTATTTTGAATTGAAAATTGTTTTTAGGAATTATTTGCTCGCTTGTTACTCTTTGCTTAAAATAACTTTTGCTTAATGCTTTCTAGCAGACTATTCTTTATATTTCTTGTTTAGCATGTTTAACAGAAATACATGAATAAAAAGAAAGAACAAATAATTTTCTTGAATTCTGTAATTATCAAGGTTTTACTACTGTAATCTGACTGGGAAGTAGTTTTACAGCCTAATATTTCATGATAATTCCGTTATACCGATGGCATTGCTTTTGATTACGCATTGCTTTTATCAAAATTTCCTATATTATCTTAGAAGTTTAAAAATATCAAAAAAGATTCACTGCTCATTTAGCTTATGCTTTTTTAACAGCTGAGAAGTGAATATATGGATTAATGATTTTTGAATCAAATTTCGACGCTTCCAGGTGGGAAACAACTTACGGCTTTCTGTCACATCATTTGAACCTTTCTAAATAAATTGTTTGGCATGTGCTGCTTATGGGATATTCTCTTCATTGAATATTGAATTGAAAAGTATTTCTAGTGTTCAAGTACTGATAAGTAGAATTGGTATCTCTTATAATTGTCTATTTGAATAAATTCATGTTAATTTCGAGCTGATATCTTTTTTTCTTCTTTTTTAGTAGAAAATTAATTTAAAAGCAAATTTCAGCCAAGCAGAGATGAATATACGACATGAAAGGGAAAAAACCTGAAGGTTGAGGTATAATTTTTTTTTTTTTACTCTTTGCCAAAAAAGAACTTCCTTATATTAAATTTTAATATAATAGAAGATAAGATAATTGAGGAGTTAAAAACTGGTTATTATGAAGAGACAATTTCATAATGAAAAAATTTTTTCTCGGAATAAAAAAATTAGAACAAATTTGAAATCTTTTAGAATTTTACAACTGATAGTTCCATTCTCACTTCTTTTATTCCACTTACTTTTCTTCTCGTGTATCTTCTTAAAATTCATTATCTTGCATTAACTATTTGCACAAGAACCGCAATCATTTTTATGAAATAAGTGGCGGATATGTCTTCACATAAATCAGATAGACACATTCTTGTTTAACTGATGAAAAGAATTTTCTACTAAATTTTAATAATTAAATGATAATACTCGATCACATTTAATATGGATTGAAATTGGAAATTTATTCAATAATATTTTTTTTTAAATAATTTTTAACTATAGTAATAATACATTAAGAGTATCAGAAGCATTTTTTGTCGTAGACAACCTGGAAAGCATTTCTGACCGATTACAGCTAATTCCAGTATAATAAATGGAGAAGAAAAAAAGAAATTATTCACAGTTTGAATTTAAATTTCTTCCAAGAAGTAATATTTTCTAATGTATGAAACTTACAACTTGCTGTGTACGAGATGGAAGCAGAGGATATCCAGAAATTTTCTGCCAAATAACCTGAATACAAGAATGAAGCATTTCTTAAAGTTACCAGTAACATTCATATTTTAATTAGCCAGCATTTTACAAGAGTGAAGTATTCTAAATCTTTTCACTTAAGAATTTATGCTCATAATTGCTTTCTCATAACGCTCATATTTGGATATGGATTAATATTTATGTATCATGATTTGTTTCGTATAAATAAATATTAGCTACTTCATTATATTTCTTAATTGATAATACCTCTTCCATAAACAGTGAAATCTCTGGTTGTTATAGTTGTTTCTTCCAAATATGGGAAACACTTAAATAATCTTATTTATTGAATTCTTTACACAATTATTTTTCAATTTAATCAAGGATTTTTTTTTTCTTCTTAAATTCTTCATCTTTTTTACATGATAAATACTTTAATCAAATAGATTGTTAATATTACTATGCATTATTTTTAATAATTTATTGTAAGTTTGATATTATATATTTTTTGAACTCACATGTCGTTTGCATATGACATGCCATATATGATTTTTCAATTCTGTACATGAAATTGATTGTACTGATATGCTCACTATTCCTAGAAAATTGATTAATTTAATTATTATAAGATTTTATTCACACTTTTATAATTTTTGCATAATTCTTTATTCATATGCTTCATTATTTATGTTTTTTATATAGTATATATCAAAGTTTTTTTGCATATTTTGATATTATAATCAAATTTTCGAATCATGGTACATGCAGTACTGTTTGCAATAACTGTACGCAGCATTTTATCAGATATCTTTTTTCTTTTATATTGATCATTAATAATTAAATGAACACTTCCTTATTGTTAAATTATTATTAAGATAAACTTATATTTTTATATACCGTTTGGCAGTTTTCTGTCAACAAATT